TCCAATTATTGAAGGGTGATGGTGGGGCCCTCCTCACATGACCGAACAGCCCCCAATTATCCTCTGGCTTCAATTATTCATTCGATCGAAACTTCAAGCTCCCATTCCAGATTTCCAGTCGGTCCATTCCAGAGCTCCAGTTCGGTCGTCCTCTCGCTTTCTTCCCCAGTTCCATTCATCGTCAAGCACGGTCTTCCTTTCCCCCTTCGGTCTTTCCTCCTTGACAGAACGAGTCGCCGCCCGTGTTGAAGAGTCGCCGTCCAGCCATGGTTTGAAGGTGCCGGTGAGAGAAATCGCAGCTCGGCGGAAGAAGATCATAGCTATCAGTTGTGAGTTCCGGCGCTCAGGTTCGCTCTGAAGCATTCCGCCGCGGTCAGTGTTCCCTGGCTCTTTCTCCGGCGCTCAGGAGCCGCTCTTCTCGTTCGTGCTTGGTCGCCACTAGCCCAGTCGCAAGTGCTCCTCCTGTAGCCGTCACCGCCGCCGCCACCGGCCCCGCTGCCTGGTCCGTCGTTCACTCTCGTCGCCGTATTCAGTCCTCCATTCAGGTGAGTCTCTGAGTTCGTTTTAACGACCAAGGTGTGACCGTTAGTTCCGGGCTTAAGTTGATCCACTTTGACGAACACCGGCTTCCTCTTTGCGGGTTTATTTGCCCCACCGCCTTGCTGATTCGATGCCATTGTTTCCGATCCCGGATTTCTGTGTTTTTCCTTCACGGATTCACAAGTTCAGAAAAAGTAATATGCTTATCGGCTCTATCAGTCTATTGATTCTGAAAAGTTATGTGAAATTCAAGTTGTTTGGCCGATTTATGCCCTGTGATGTGCTGCTGCAATAAATACGGTTATCATGGTATTTAATCTGAAGCAGCCAAAGCTATTGAGTTATGATTGTTTATCATGGTATTTAAAATCTGATAAATTAAAGGTGTATAAATATGTCCGGTTGGTTTGAGCATGATATAGGGTATCTTCGGTTGGTTGATAATCTGTGAATTTGTTTTTGGTTCTGAGATCAGTTTATCTAGCTCCACACCGGACTCTCATACGTAAAAATAGAGCAAATGGAAATCTGTGTTTAATATTTGTAGTTTGCCGCCTTATAATTTTTACGACCACTCAACGTTGATGATGACCGGGCTGTCTAAAATTTTGTTTTATATACCTGCATTGAACTTGTCATGGCTTGTGGTCTGACCGGGGTAATATTTTTTTTTTTCAGTACTGGCTTGGGGTGTTTGGTGGGTGCTGGTTTTGCTTGGTTGATAGTTATTGCTGACGTTCTGCTTCAGTGGTGGGTTGATTTTCATTCGAGGATTCATTTGTGTAGCTTGGTTTATCTAATTTCAGTCAGAGGATTGGTTTTCGGTCTATTCAAGTGATTAGTTTTTCCAGAGACATATATTTGTAATCCTTATGTTTTATTTTGAGTAATCCTGTTTTGAATAAAAGTATAGGATGTTGTATTTGTAGTAATTAAAATTAATTTATTTAATTTTTTTCTAGTCATGAAAGGAATGGGAACATAATTCCATTTTATGTTGAATTAAAAAAATTAATTACTTGTTATAAATACAGATTGAATTTCTTTTTGTTTTAAATAATAATGAAAGAAAGAAAAATGTTAATATGGTATTCATAGTTGATTTGGGTAACAATGACACTTGTTATTTCAATTAATTTTGAGTTGATTAACCTGTGATGACTGAAGAGCTGTAATTGTGATATAGCATAATGGGTAAGAATACGGTGAAAGCTTCCTGGGACCTACGAACCACGAAAGTGTTTATTGACCTCTGCATTGAACTTGTGCAACAAGGGGAAAGAAAAGGTACTAGCTTAACAAAGAAAGCTTGGGATATTCTTGCTGATAACTTTACTGCCAAAACTGGAAGAGTATATGAAAAAGCTCAATTTAAGAATAAATATGATTCCCTACGAAAAGAGTGGCAGACATGGGATAGGCTGCTTCGTGAGACAGGATTGGGATGGGATACTGAAAGGAATACTGTCAGTGCAACTGATGATTGGTGGGAGAGAAAAATAAGGGTAATTATTGAACCTTTTGATCTTACATTTTCTCTACTTGTTAACGTTTTGTGTATATTTACTGTTTTTGGAATATTTTATGATATTATTGGTGTCTAATGTGCAGGAAGTTCCAAACTACGAAAAATTCAGAGAAAGAGGACTTCAATTTAGGGATCAATTGACTCAACTATTTGGGAGTGTGGCTGCAACTGGACCACAAGCATGGGCACCTTCTTCCATGACACTTCCAAGTGAAGGAACACCGAATGAAGATTTGGAAGAAGGGTCCGGAGATAGTGATGAAATTTTAGGCGCACCAACTGGTATAAGTGGGGAATTTAACACAGTGAACTTCAATGATAATAGTGGAGGTAGTGGAGGCAATACTGAATTGAGGCAGGATACCAGTGGTGGGGGTACAAGCAGAGGTAGGAGTCGACCTAGTAGCTCACTGGGGGTCAGAAGGAAGAGTGAAGTGAAGAAGAAACGCGCATCTCCCTCTATGAAAATAGCGGATGCAATTAGCAAGATTGCTGAAACAAATATTTCTGAGGCCGAGCGTGGAAATGAGGTCATTTCACGAGCAGAAGCTAGAAGGTTGGAAGAAGAAGCGCGTGCTTATGAAATTTCAATTAGGGGAGTCCTGTCTCACCTGAAAACAATTCCTGAAGTTGTCAGTGATCCCGATTTCTTTAGACGGTGCACACAACTCCTTATGGAACGGCCGGAGGCACGGGAAATGTATGCAGCTCTGAAGGATCAGAAGGAACAACTTCTACCCATTTTAGAGCATTATACTAGGGATTTATGACTTGTTTATTATATTAGACAGTTCCATATGTGTATGTTTTATGTGACCAGTGGATTGTTATATGAATCAGACTACTCTGTAACTTTTATAAATGTTTCGTAATTTCTACGTAGGAATTCTAAACTTTATGTGTATGTGCACAGGATAAAACGAATATGGATGATGAAATTAAACATGTGGAAGAGCATGCTAAGGGACGGAAAAAAAGGGTTAACAAAGTTGCAGCATTGGTTAGTGCATACGCTACTTTGAACTTGTGTAAGGAGCCTCGGCATACAAGTGCTTATACAGGCTGCATATGGGTAAGGGATGTTTTAGATGGCAACTCCAGTCGTTGTTATAACATGTTTAGGATGGAACGGGATGTGTTCTTAAGTCTGGTGGAACAATTGCAAGAACATGGTCTAAAAGAAACTAAAAATATAGGGATACATGAATCAGTTGCAATGTTTTTACATACCGTTGGGCATGCACTTAGTAGTAGAATGCAGCAAGAAAGATTTCAACATTCAGGGGAGACAATTAGCAGACATTTTCATAATGTCCTAATGGCATGCTGTAGACTTGCCATGTCTAATATCAAACCAAAAGATCCAACATTCCGGCATGTTCATAAAAAAATTCGGTTTGGTAAATACTGGCCTTTTTTTAAACATGCTATTGGAGCAATTGATGGCACACATGTTTCCTGCGTTGTCAGTGCAACAGATCAAACTAAATTTATCTCTAGGAAAGGAACAGTGTCACAAAATGTCATGGCGGTTTGTGATTGGGACATGTGTTTTACTTTTGTCTTGGCCGGATGGGAAGGTAGCGCACATGATGCTCGGATATTTGATCATGCCCTCACAACTCCTTCAATGAACTTTCCCCATCCACCTGAAGGTATTTTTTTATTTCCTATATTTTTTTTATATTTAGCTTAACAATAGAAATATAATTTACAATAATTTCATTTTTTATATAGGAAAATATTATTTGGTGGATGCTGGATACCCAACACCGAATGGATATCTCGGCCCATACAGACGGGAGCGTTACCATTTGCCTGATTTTCGAAGGACATTTGGGTTTGAAAATGACAATGAGATCTTTAATTATTTCCATTCAAGTTTAAGGAGTACAATTGAAAGAACTTTCGGAGTTTGGAAAAAAAAGTTCGCAATCTTACAAAACATGCCATCTTATGATTTTGAAACACAAGTTAAAATCGTTTGTGCAACGATGGCTATACATAATTTTATTAGAACGACATCTATTACTGATCCTGGATTCGTTCAGTTGGAAGAAGAAGGTACTTATGCAGAAGATGATGATGATGGGGTTAGATTTTCACGTATACATTCATCAATTCAATCTTCATCTTACATGGCTCAGGTTCGTGACAGCATAAGAGACGAACTTGTTAATTCAGTACGAGGATAGTAGTCATGTCTTATTTATTTCCTTTTATCATAGATTGTAATATGTAGTTAAAAACAAAACATATTATAAATGCTTTGTATCGATGCATCATCTTAATGATTATGACACTTCTTTATTTATATTTCTCTTATTAATATTATGCCTTATATTCTGTTATAAAACAAATCATTTTTCTATAAACATATTTAATATTATGTTTTATAAATATATGTACACATATTAATTATGTATTAATTATATTATCTTATATATTATTAATTATGTTAGTAAAAATTATTTCATTAACAATTTTTATTTCTTCAAATCAAAATAAATCATAAAATCTATCCCTTATATAATTATCATATTAACTTATACCCTTTTTGGTAATTTTCACATGTAAAAAGCACTTCTGGTAATAACTATCCAAACACTCTCACTTCTCAGAATCACTTTTTCTCAGAATCTATTCTCCACAGAATCTATTCTCCACAGAATCTATTCTCCAGAATCACTTTTCCAAACCACGGTTTGAAGTCATCCAAACACACCCTACATCTGAAACTTAGAAAAAAGAATTTGATGGATTACTCTTCCTCCATCAAAACATCACTCCCTCCTTCAGCTTATAGGGACGTTTTGAAATAAATTGGCTACACTGGTTTTCAATTGGAATTACTCCTAGAAGGTTTCTTTCCCCAAAATTTTCAAATCCATTCGTCTCTTTTAATCATTTGCCCCTGCTATGCTATAAAGTGTCCCTAACGCCAGGGTTGACAGGAGCAACATTCACAACAAGCCCTGGGCGACAAGAACCGGGGGAAGTACCTTGAGCTCTGATTAAGGGGAATAGGGGAAGACGATGCCAAAGAAGAAGCACGGGGACCACGACAGCGACGAAGAAGACATCTTCTATTACCGCTATGCTTCCTATTCTGCTTCTTCAGCACCTTCCTCAAACACCACCAGAACCCTCAAGACTCACGGTGGCTCTGGTGGGTTAGCTCCCTCTAAATCCACTATCTACGTCTCCAACCTTGACTTCTCCCTCACTAACTCCGACCTCAACACCCTTTTTTCCACCTTCGGAAAGATCGCCCGAGTCACCGTGCTCAAGGACCGAGTCACTCGCCAGAGCCGTGGCGTCGCTTTCATTCAATACGTTTCTCGTGACGATGCACAAAAAGCTGCTCGTGAGATGAACCGCAAAGTTCTCAACGGCAGGACCTTGACTGCTTCCATCGCCGCGGATAATGGCCGGGCTCCGGAATTTATAAAGAAAAGGGTTTATAAGGATAAGAGTCGGTGTTACGAGTGTGGGGAAGGAGGACATTTGTCTTATGAGTGTCCCAGGAATCAGTTAGGGCCCAGGCAGCGTCCGGTTCCCAAGCGCGAACGACATGGCAGTGGCGGTGGCGGCGGGGGCGGGTACCAGCGGGCCGAGGAGGATGATGACGGATCCGATGGTGGGGATCGGTTTGAGGATGATAATTGGGCTTCTATTGTGGATAATGGGGCGGATGAAAGGTTGCTGACGGGTAACGAGAAGGTTGTGGAGAAGAAGAAGGCGAAGAAAGCAAGCTATTTCAGTGATGAGAGTGGTGATGAAGATGATTGATCTTTTGGGCAGAAACGAATTGAGCAATTCAAGGTATGGTGTTATTTTTTTATCTGTGACAGAAATGAACTGATGATTTAGCTTGTAATTGAAATAATGTTTGAAATTATTATGCTTAAGAAGATTTGAAAAATCCTTGAAAGATGAATCTAGAAGAGGCCCTTGGTTTTGAGAGTCTGGAACAGTTAGCTAAAGTAAAAGGAGCAACAATAATGATGTTGAAAATTTATATACCCATTGAGCCAAATCCTCAGTTTGCTTCTTCTGCTTTGCACCGGAACGGTGGTAGCAGTTAGTTTGTATGGTTGTTATAAGTTTATTTTACAAACTATATTGTGTGTATTTTATCTTTATCTGATTATGAAGGAAAAAGAATTGTTTTTGGTAGAATTGGTGGAAACAATTACTGATTGATGGTGAAGTATAATAACTTGGGCAATAAGGTGGTTCCAGCCGCAGTTAACTGGCAAAAGTGGAATTTTGAATACAACAATAACAAGTCTTATCCCACTAGGTGGTGTCGGCTAAATGAATCACACGATGTCATCTTGCTCTATCAACAACTCAATCCTTAAATATATTGTTGGCCAGGAGCTTTCGTTCAATGACTTCATTAAGCGTGTTTCTTGGTTTTCTTCTGTCCCTTTTCATAGGACTCTATATTGTCTGATCTACCCTCCTCACTGGGGCCTCCAATGGCCTTCTTTGTATATGTCCAAATCATCTTAAGCGATTTTTAATCATTTTCTTTTGGCTCCCTAGGTCTTTCACTTCAAATGCAGTGGCTAAGATCTTTTTCACTCTTGCTATTTCCTTAGCATCATTCCCTGTTATGACAATGTTATGAACATATACGATTAAAATTGATACCTTTCCTTGTGAATGTTTAACAAACAGTGTGTGATCTGATTGACACTACATGTACCCAGATTCCTTCACTACTCTTGTGAACTTTTTGAGCTGTGCCCTTGGGGATTGTTTAAGGCCATAAAGAGATTTATACAACCTGCATGTCTTTTTTGTATTTTCGTGCTCAGTGAGTCCTTCTGGTATTCTCATATACACTTCTTCTTCGAGATCTCCATTTAGGAAGGTGTTTTTGATGTCTAATTGATGGAGTGGCTAATCAAGATTAGCAGCTAAGGATAGCAGAATCCTTATGATATTCAACTTTACTACTGGTGCAAATGTTTCTTGGTAATCAATTCCCTCAGTTTGAGAGAAACCTTTTGCTACCAATTATGCTTTGAACTTACTTACAGATCCATAAGGATTGTATTTGATTGCGAAGACCTATTTGCATCCCGTAGCTTTCTTTCCCTGGGGGAAGACTTATTACTTCCCAGGTTTGATTTTTGTTGAGAGCTTGTAGTTCTTCACTAATAGCTGCCTTCCATCTAGGATCCTTGACAGTTTCATCAAAGCTCGAAGGTATTTTATTCTTGTCAACCTTAGATACAAAACTTTTTATGCACGGAGATATCTTGTCATAGGAAACAAAGTGGTTAATTGGGTGTAAAGTGCACTATCTTACCTCCTTTCTTAGAGTAATTGGCCACCCAAGATCATCAAGTTCTGAAGTTTGGGTTGACTCTTGACTTGGCCTAGAACTAGGAGGACCCCCCACTATTTGAACTATGTTCTTCCTCGGGCTAAATAGTGTCTCCATCAGATTCGTCTATCTCTATTCCCTGCAATGTATCTTTAGGCACTATATGAAAATTAGGAGCATTGGGACTGGATCAGTCAGGAGGAGAGGGAATATTGTCTAGTACGGTTTCTGGGATGTCAGGTGTTGTTACTGGAATGCCAAGGTCTGTTTTGGGTGTTGCAACAAAGGAAGTTTAAGTGAAGTCAGGTATGGCAAGTGTGGAAATTTGGGTTGGGGTTATATTCAACGTAGATGCGTTGTCAAAAGATAGGGACTCCCATTCTCTTCTGATACTCTCCCCTTGAATGGGAGAACTAGGATAGTAGGCTTTGTTTTTACCAAACTTAACACCTATTATAACAAAAAATTTTCACAGAACTAGTGAGTAGCATTTGTACCCTTTTTGGGTGGATGAGTAGTCGAGAAAGATGCATTTAAGAGCTCTAGGATCAAGTTTGCCCTCTTGCTTATGGTAAATGTACACAGTACACCCAAAAACTCTAAAGGCAAGATCATAGGTTAGTGAATTTGCAGGGTAGGATCTGGTGAGGAGACTGATTGGGGTTTGAAAGTTTAGAGTTTTGGAAGGTAGTCTATTTATCAAGTGTAAAGCAGTAAGAACAGCTTCTCCCCAATATTGTTTAGGAACATTATGGGTGAACATGAATGATTGGGTAACTGCTAGCATGTGTCTATTCTTTCACTCAGCAGTCCCATTTTGTTGAGTTGTGTCAACACAACTAGTTTGGTGGACTATCCCATTGTCTTCAAGGTATTGTTGAAATGTATGGCTCATTTATTCACGGCCATTGTCAGCGGAGGGTGAGGATTTGGGTTTGAAACCGGGTTGAGATCATTTTTGTGGAATTTTATGAAAATTTCAGGTAGGTTGGATTCGTCTTTTATGAGAAATACCCAGGTTAGGCATGTATGATCATCAATGAAACTAACAAACCATTTAGCATGAGTGAGGGAAGGAATCCGAGATGGTCCCCAAATGTCACTATAAATTAGATTAAATGGTTTTGAGTATTGATGTGAGTGCGGTTTATAGGTAGCTTTAGTTTGCTTTGAAAACTGACATACTTCGCAAGTGAAAGGGAGATCATTTTTATTCAAAAGATGTGGAAACAGTTTTGACATGTAATGGAAATTAGGATGCCCTAGCCTATAGTGCTGTAGTAATGGATCTTTATTCTTTAAAGTAGCAGAAAAAATAGAAGGTAACTTCATAGGATTTGCCTTGGATTGATGATGCTCTTGAACTTCCAAACAGTAGAGGTCTTCAAGGATCTCAGCTGTGCCAATCGTCTTCCCTCAGTATGTCTTGAAAAACACATTTAGAGCTGTGCAAAACGAGACATACTCTTCCACATATTTACTTCGTATGCTGTAAAAGCACTTCTAAAACCATGATTTGGTTTCCGTTCAAACATCCCCTTAACCAAAGAGAAGTGAATATCACAATTTTGATTCTAGGTCATAGTTATAACAAACAATAAACTGCATTTTAAGCCAGGTGTATAGAAGCTGTTCTGCAATACTATTTCAGGAGTTATAAAAGCTTTGCCGAGGCCTTCAGCTTGCAAGGCTTTACCGTCAGCTACTTTTACTCAGATATTCACAGGGCATGGTCTTATGTCAGTTGAAAGTTCTTTGTTTCCTGTCATATGGTCGGTTGCTGCTGAATCCACAATCTATAGTCTCGAGTGATGTATATCAGTTTTTAGTACTAATATGGTTTTACCTGTAGGGGCAATATATCCAGCTGCAATAGTTGTTTATTGTGAGTTATGTTTCTCTAAGAATCAAGGAAGCAAATCTAATTCTTCCTTACTGAACTCTGGCTTGTTATTGTGCTCAATAGTGTTGGAATACCCTCGCCATCTTGTTTCCCTTTTTTCAAAGGCTTGCTGTGTAATTTCCAGCAAGTCTCCCTAGTATGCCCCTTTTCTCTGCAGCGGTCACACCACTTATTTTGTCTCTGAGTCATCTTGGACTGCCTCTTTTGATGCAAATGCATTTGGTTGACTGGATTCAATCTTTGACTTAGGGGCAGTAAGTTTTTTTCTGCTTTCTTCATTTCTCAAGGTAAAAAATACTTCCCTTAGAGGTGGTAGGTTGTCGAGAGGCCCATTATTCTGCCTCATACTTCTTTAAAGGAGGCATCCGGTTCAAGTAAGAACTTGAAGACCCTTTTTTCTTCCTTTATTTTTGTATAGAGAGCAGCATTGCCAGTACACTTCCAGTCATAGGTCTCGTACATATCCAATTGTTGCCATTGAACCACCAAGGCAGTATAGTGTTGGGTCATGGAGAGATTACCTTTCTTGAAATCATGAAGGAATCTTTCAATTTCTAGGATGACAGCTTTGTTCTTGAGTCCAACAAACATATCTCTTGCTATATCCCATACTCCTTTAGCGGTCTGGAAGAATGTGGTGTGTGCACTAATCTCGGTTGTCGTAGAATTGATCAACCAAGCCTGCACCATGGAGTTTTCAGCTTCCCATGTAGGTATTTTTCATCGTCTTGAGCTGGTTTCTAAATCCCTCGGATCAGATATCCATATTTTCCTTTGCCCATGTTGTATAGACATGCGTTAGAGGACCATTGCATGTAGTTCTCTCCATTGAGGTGATGAATGGTGATGGAGGCTGGGTTGGACTCAATTGAATTTTGATGACTGGTGGAACCAGTCACTGTTGTGTTTAGACCTGATGGGTTAGCTCTCGAGACCCTAGGTTTGGTTGGCCCCTCATTGCTGAATCCCATACCGAATCTGGTCATCTCTGCTTTGATACCATGAGGAATCTTATGATACTTAACAGACTACCTTTACTCGAATGATGAGGAACACTTAAATAGACACAAGTCTCTCAGTGAGATTATTAGGCCCGATATTCTAAGGATTTGGCCGAGAGATAATAGGGACAGATATAATATGCAAGATACAATCAAAATAATGATAATCGCAATCTTCCTAATAAACAGAAATATAAGATCTGATCAAATCCGATTTTGAGGCCTAGGGTTTTTTTAGGCCCAAGGCCCATTGGACTGAGTTACCAACACTTCTAAACCATAGTGGTACCTTGAAATATACTTTCGTGAATGAAATGAAAAGTAACATGAATATGTTTTGTACCATGGTGATACATTAGATTTTTAGTAACTTTATTGTGCTTTAGCCATAGCATTAAACAGTTGTTATGTAAGCCTTTAATCCAGATTGCTAGCAACTTCATTAGCCGTTTCCATTGTTTTCGTATTCTTTTCTAGTAGAAAGCTCGGTAGCGTATTGCAAAGTCACTTTCCAACTAACAACACAACATAAAACAGCGGTTACAGTTGTGTCTGCCCAAGAAATTAGGATATTGATTCTAATGTCTGAGAAACTAGTGAACAATATAAGGCTCTTCCCACTCGTAAGTTAAAGTAGAAAATAATGAACACATTCATATATGATTATCTTTGCTCTTCTGTTTATCTATATCAGTGTGGATGTGTGGGTGTGTGTGTGAGTTTTAATGCTTATAATCTGCAGAAGATCTTTGCTTTCAAATTATTTAACATTGACTGCAAAAACTGTGTGGACATGATGTTGACCATCAAGCCATGTTAAGGAGCCAAAATGGTAGCCACCTTAAGCTGCCTTCCCATTGAATGAGACTTTATATGACATCATCTTTACACCTTGAGCAAAAACAAGTTTGTTGGGGACGACCTTGACAACCAATCCCTCAGGTGCATGCACCTTTGCAATATATGTGGCGTTAGGGGGACCCACATCAGTGACGGTTCTTCTTATTACTTTTGCTTTCTGATGCCTACTCAGTTCTTATGGAGATTGAGGGGTAATTGATGTTGGAGACAAGACCTTCACTGGACATTTGCGGGCAGCCCAAGTTTGCCTTAGACATAGACCTTATGTTTTTCTGTGAATAACCATAATAACATAGGAACTGGACATAGGATCTCAGATTTGTTTCAAAGACTAAACCAGGGTCAAGAGCTCTGAGTGGGTTAACTTCCCCGACTCCCATTTCATGTGGGTTGGCCATGTAGTTTGAGCTGTTGGTTAAAAGCTTCCTCATGTTGTTTTAAGTTGTTGCTGAAAGTTGGAAATGAAACAAAAGTTACAAAACAGGGTGAGTATAACTTCTCCTTTTCTGTAGAGCATACTAATCAAAATTGGAGAGAAACATCTAAATAGGTGCTTCAATAACAGGTGTACTTTCAAGTTCACCCTTCACAATCAATATAGTCATCTAACCATTCAGCAGATTTAAAAGTATGTTTCCGCCCTATTTTCACCCCAAAATTAATGCCCAACATCCTGATTTGTGGCTTGGACATTCATGGCTTTGTGTTAAGTTTTGAAGATGGAGACAGGTTAGAACAAAAAATGTTGAAAGCATTTTAATTATTGAGGAACTAAATTGGAAAAAAAAAAAATTTATGAGAGATGAAATTGATAATCCATCTGTAAGTTGGTTACCAAATTATGATTTAACTAACAAAGATACAGAATGACTTGTGGAACCTGTCGTCATCATTGCTGATTTTATCATTGATGGGCTCCAGCTTTTACGAACTGATCTTATCAGTGCTGCAGCACCTGTCACATGTGGGCAAGCCATGGATGTGCCGGATTTTACACTATATTGGGATGGTTTCTTCCCGGCCGGAACGCTTCCTGGTTCAGAATTTTGGGGAACCACTGCAGCTAGAATGGCAATTCCTGGAGCCATAATGTCAGGCTGAACAATGGAGTTTTCATAGTTAGTTAGGAAGATGCCTTGTAAATTTCATGTTCTTATGTAATTGTATATCTATTCACAAGTTAGTTTGCATATAGGGACGCAGTGGAAAAATACCTTGAGAATATTCTCTGTTAGGCTTGAAGGACCTCTAGATGAGAAAGATGCAACAACTGGTGAAGATCTATATCTAGGAGCTTCTGTTGTTGGAAGAATTGTTGCAGTTGGATTCCTGCCATCGAGGCATAAATAGTGTTTTTCTTAACTATAGTTATTTCCTGTTAGCATACCTTGTGCAATCTATATTAATTATTTTACCCCTTTACACAACTGTTTAGACAACCATCATTTAGCAAGCATGTTATGATTCTTCATTAGCTGTTTGACCTTTATGATTGATGTCTGCACCTTCTTCCTCATACTTGGACCTTTTTTTTAATCTTTTGGTCAAATTCATCGTACTTAGTCTACGAAACTCAGCTATCTAAAACTCTAGATGCAAAGCGAGGTGAATATATGTATATATTGTGACTGCTAGGTGATAACTGCTAAGAATATTGAGATAACGGCGAAGTTTTCATTTTTCATTAGTAGGCCCTGAATTTAAATGAAAGAAAAATGAAAGCAAGTTATTTATGTTCTAAAAAATGCACAAGAACCAGTATGACCACAAAGATGGAACATCCTAGAGCATGAGAAGTAACAAGCATGCTGAAGTTGGTTATGCTTACTTTGTAGAGTTTATGTACTCAAGGATCTGAGACCCTTCAAGATTACAACTTCTGTGAAGGGAAAAACACCTGCTTCATAAGGAACATCTTTCTTGCCCTCTTGAATGAGTATCAACGCCATGGCTCTTGCATCTTGTAAAACTAGCTTCTTGATTCGCCTTGAAACACTTGGATCATCAGCAATGCAAACAACAATACTATCAGCAACTTTCGTGTAATCTAGTGATCCAGGATAACAATTCCTGCATTTCAGTGAAAATAGAAAACCAAATTATGTTAGGAAGATTGCTTGTAACTGTGAGATATGCTGTATAAACAACTTAGTGCTTTATTTATAAACTTTACAATCACACGTGTGTTGCTGGTCCTAATGCTAGTGCCTGCTAGAATACTGCTAGCAATATGAAACTAAGTAGGGGTGTTAGCTTTAAATGGAGAGAAATTCTAAATTAACACTGTTTAACAAATGATAAGGAGATCAAACCCCTTATGAAAAATGTTTGTGCGTTGCCTATTTATAATTAATTTGGTGTATTTATGTTTAATAAATTGAGTGTACTTTGATTAAACAAACGTAGCCATGAAAAATGTGAGGCATGATCTGATATTTTTTCGTGAAACTATCAGATCATATGGATGACACTTCTAAGTTACCTTGCTTCTGATTCGGGGGTAAATTTGGCAGCAACGTCCTTTCCGAAGAAAAGAGGATGCATCTTTGAACGAGTGAGGTTTGAAAAGTGGATGCCTGAACCCCAACATAGAAAACAAAGGTCACACAATATATTAGATTTCCAGCACCTCAAAGTCTCCTAACTCTTCTACTTGTACAGTCCCCCCCCCCCCCGGGTTTTTGGAACAGTCGAGAAATCGATTCATTTTGTATTAGGTCAATGAAAGATGGACGTTTGGTGAAATCTTCTTTTGGTATATCATTATGTCCGTTTGGCATTGGCTTTGTGTACTTAAAAATAATTTTTCGGAAGCAGGGGACATACTTGGAAAGTTTTCCTATTCCCAAGGACAATAGCTGACTGGAAGGTCCTGTCAATATTAGAAGCTGTGACAGTGAATACCCATGGAGCTGTATTGACGATAGTGCAAGAATCAGGGCCGTCATTCCCTGCAGAGCACACCACCATGATTCGCATTTCTTCAGCATGAAATGCTCCAATGGCTATGGGATCATTCAAAAAGTCTGATTGAAAGAGTGAGTTGAGTCCAATGGAGATAGAGATTATGTCCACTCTGTCTTTTATTGCATCATCGATAGCCTTCAGAATGGTGGAACCAGGGCAGCCATCTTCTGAGCATGCCTTGTAGGCAGCAATCCTAGAAGAAGGTGAGCCTCCTCTTGCAGTTCCCTTCGCTAAGCCATAATAATTGGCATTTTGAACTCTGCTACCTGCTGTTGGTGATGCAGTGTGAGTGCCATGGCCAACAGAGTCTCTTGGGGACCCTCTGCCTTTTGGGTGGTGAGTTTTATTACCACCTAATGTCATTTGAGGATCATAATGTCTTGCTCCTATCAGTTTCCTGCAATTATACTGTGATTCTGTGAGAATTATTATCGATGATAGACTCAATTAGGAATTTCAGAGATTTGATCTAAATTTTAGCAAAAGTGTGAATATTCCAAAACAATGAAAACTTTCATTAGTAGAAGTGTGTTTAACATAATCTGGGCAATTTCATAGTCATTGCTAAGAAAGTGACACTTGAAACAGCTTAATGTCAATATTAACGTTATAATATTGCAATTGGTTAAATGTCGAACACAACAGATTTTTAACATTGAAATTCGCTGGGTGTTTTAACTCTTCTTTTTAATCAACTCATTATTTTTTGAAGCTTACATGAAAGGGATCGAAATGAACTAATGATAACCACACAGACCATGAGGAGTTGAATCAACATTTTTTATCGCTGATAAATTATTCAGTAATTGCGATATTTCATGTAGATATGATTCAAAAGAAGAAAAAGGGTTATGATCACCTGTTGCAGTTGGATTTCTTGAAAGTTGAAATCATGACCCTCCATGCAAACTCCTTTCCATCTTGAAGGAATCTTCCCAATATCATGATCGTTGAAACTTGGAGCCTCAGGCCAAATCCCTTTGGGGGAAGAAATCAAATATAGGCATGGGTGAATCATAACATATTAACTAGAAGTTGGAAATTCTCTAGTCTGTGTAAACTTTAAAATGCTAAAACTTAATGAAGGGAAGTCGGGTGTTAATCCCCTTATTGTCTTGTAATACTTTCCAATTTAGACGGCTCTTGATGTGTTAATGCACGGTTAATAACATCCTAAGGGCACATATTTTAACAATGTATGAATTTAGAATGCTTGAAAACTTAAAAATCTCCACACTCGATTTATTATTCATGTTGAGGATCGGTTTCAGTTGTCATATGTTAAATATGAATTTCATATTCTCAGTTTTCATAAGCATCAAGTGCTGAGAACAAATTATCCGAATTATATTTTAATTTTTTTTAGAGTCAGATTAATAAGAGGCCATTGCGCGTGTTTCGGTGCATTTCCTCCGATTCTGTCAGCTTCAAAAAATTCATGACAGAACCCTGGTGGTTTATCAAATTAAAATGCACAATTCAACTAGAAAATGATGTGCATACCTAGCAATTGATTTGCACATTTATTGACCTCTTTATACAAGTTAATAAACACATTTTATCCTAGTTCAGCATAATTTTAACAGTCATTATCATATGCTTTCTTCTAATCCATGAGTTTACCAGAAGAAAGATCGATATAGATAATGGGCCTTATATACTTTGATATTTAAGGCCATCACTATTATCTATCTATTTCTATTTTCTCTCTTCATTTTAGGTAAAATAGCTTAGCCAATTCCAACTAGTCTTGATGAAAGTGATCATTCTATTGTAAAAGTGGAAAAAAAAGAAGATAAAAATGATCATTCTTCATAGATTTAGAATGAATTGCTTCATCAGAATCACAAACAAGCTGCTGGCTTTCCGCCACCCCAAATACCACCTTAATGCAATCTCTTTGTACTTCCACCCATCCATACCCCATGTGCATGGCAGACCCTTGGGCGTTTATGAAACCAATATCCATTTGTTTGGTGGAATCCATTTTGTTTTAGACGAGCTGCTGACTTTTCTATTTACTCCAGACAACAACTCATTCAACGTCTGGTCCCCTGTGCTTTCCATATCCATGAGTTCATCCACCGCTCGTTCTGATGTAACATTTCCCGGCGAAAAGTAAGTCACATCTGGTAGTCCATTTGACGGTCCCGTCGACATATCCAAAAAGATATTCCAAGGGATTCTTCTGATCACCTCTGTGCCCACCTCATTGCTCCACTTGAGCCACTCGATATTTTCCATCATTAGTTTGTTAATTTTCGCCTTTTGCCTTCTTTTTGGAATTTCAATTGGCCAGTGGTAAACAACATTTTCGCTTTACTGAGCTCTGGAGCAGACTCACCAGTCCAACCAAACAACTTCAGGTCTAGTTTTCCTTACACCTAGTGGTATGTGCTCGCGATAAGAATGGCCGTACTAGATCATTATTTCGGGAGAAAATTATCTATAGTTACTAACTTCCAAAAAAAAGAAAAGAACACAAGTGCCTAGCATCATTGCGAGGTGTACTTGATTACTTGTTAGCCTCTCTTGACAGTTAATCTGTCTTCATCTATCTTAAGCTTCAGAGCATATGCTGGAGTCACTACTGCACAATGATGGCATTTTATTTTTTCAAGGTCTGATGAATCAAAGGAGGTGGGCAGAGAGGATGGTGATGAAGGCAGGCCATGTGAGGAGGATGTTGAAAATCACCCCACCCGCCCATACCCATAATGTCTATTTGGGTTGTTCCAACTTCACCATCTTGTCTGTGTGTGGCCCTAGCCCTTACTTCTAACACCGTGGGGACTCTTTTGAGCTCCTTCAAGTAAGATTTACCACCACTCATGTAAGTCAACTTCCAATTCCTCCGTGTGTGTGTGTCACAGAGAGAGAGAGAGAGAGAGAGAGAGAGTATGGGTGTGTGTCCCTCTAGGTTGGTTGGTTATTTAGTGCAAGTAGCTGGAGAAGATAAATTAAGCCAGAAAAACGAACTACAACTGGAAACTTTGTTACGAAATGATTATGGACATATTGGCCGGACTTGTCAAATTGAGATTACTATGTCTGAATTTCGATTGATTGCACCAAGTGAATTCAAACACCATATAAGATATTTAAACCTTGTCCATTAGCTCATGTCATGAGCATGTCTATCACTACTTCATTGATAACAATTGTCACAAAATTTGCAGATCATCCCATCATCTGTGTGTGTGTGTGTGTGTGTAAAGCTTAGAGATTCTTCAATTATGTTTTAAGCACCTTTTTTAGCAAAATGTTTCATGCATTTTAAGAACCGTTTGCTTCAAGGAAAGCGGGGTCAGCCAAAAGAGTAATGAAGCAGCTCGGATCCTCTAAGATCACTCACCAAAAAGAGAAGTAAATGTAAAGAGTACACTAGGGGGGAGAGAGAGACAAAAAAAAAAAAGATTAGTATAACTATGAGAAATAAATCTCATCCGACTACATTTTTTAACAACACGTTTTCTCCAATTTCAAAATGAAGGGCGATTATTATGATCATTTAGATGGCTAAACTGGTTGATCTCTAGTTTACACCGTTCGAGCAGATCCACTCAAGAGGAAAAGTGTATATGTATGTGTATGTCTATATATATATATATATATATATATTAACACAGGAAAAAGGCATTAACGAACAAAAAGCTAATCAATTATTAACCCTCCTTCACCTTAAAAAAAAAAAAAAAGCTAATCAACTATTAGTAACATTAGGCTCCTTATACGCTAAAATATCTGCACGGCCTAACGAGAGAATATCCAGAAAGACGCGATCATCTTTCATGTGGTGCACAGATTGAATTTCAGTGCTCGGATGCCTAAGAAGATGAAAGAAAGAACTAGAGAATTACCGAATAACCACAATATTTTTTCTGTACTTTTTATTCCTTTTTAATAAGGAATAAAAAGGAAAATTTCAATTAAAACAACTAGTATTTCCTCTTATTAAATAATACTACCTCCGGTCCTAATTATAAGACCCAGTTGACTTATTTAAGGAGATTAATGAAGTAAGTTAAGTTAGTTATTTATAATAAATAAGTATTGTCATTCCTAAAATATCCTTGCTAATTAAGTATATTGGCTAGAACTACCATTATTAGAAGGATTATCTTGGAAAAAAATACATAAATATGGGAGACAAAATGGATTGGGGTCTTATAATTAGGACCAAACAAAAAGTCAAATAGAGTCTTATAATAAGGACCGGAGGTAGTATGTTATCAAAAATAGCATCTTATCATTTTTATATAAAACTATCATATTACTATGTTTGTTTTTCGTATCACAATTAAAAACAATATATATTGGTCGGGACGTGATAACAATTGCATTTTATAACGTGCGTGTGTGAAATAATGATGGGATTAAACCCCCAATTTTCCACTACTAAAAATGGACTGCATATCATTAGGTTAGACTACAGGACCATTAATAGTTTATAAAACATGCTACTTGATTGTTATCTATCCTAGCCATTAAAGCCATCGATGAGAGGTCCAAAAGATAGTATTGCAGTGGCAGGTGGGTCTATGATCTGCCAAGTTGTCTTATTTATCTGATAACAGATAACAGATGTGTCAAAAATAAAAGTAAATATCTTTATTCATCAAATTTTCATTTAGTTTAGCAGAGATTATTTTGATAACTAAAATTAAATTAAAAGGTAATTCATTTTTTAATGAACAATGTATATATTTTAAGAAGAGAAGTAAAAAAAAAAAATTACATTAACAAGATAAAGTTTAAATAATTAATTTTCTGAACCCAAAAATTATTAATTTATTATTTATGAAGTCAGATGCCTTCTCCGGTTCTCCCTATATGTGGCACATGATTATGTGAAGAGAAAATGATAACAAACGAAGTTGAAAATTATAATATTTTAATTCAGGCATTTAAGAATTTAAAATCTTAGAAAAAAATGGTATCTGATATGATATTTTACAAATATAGTCAAATGACCAAAATATCCTTGTATCAGATTTTAAAAAAAAATATCAAACTTGTCATTGCCAATATAGTTCTTGTCATTAGTTATTCAATACTCGTAATTACCAGTTTATAATTTATTAATTAATAACTTATTATTTACTGTTTAATACTTGTCATTACCAATTCACAACTTATTAATAAGCCTTTTAATACAAGGATATTTTTGTCATTTAATTATGTGACGACCGTTCTTTCAAAACCATTTTAGATGAAATCCAACAATTTATTCCAAAGATTAACCATGATAGAAAAGAAGAAACCTTAAAATTTTAAAATCACTATCATGGTTAAAAGAAATAAACTTATATTACGAGCACATCGATACTTAACTTGGGCCTTGGACTTTCAAAGTCCAGAAATATCATTCCACTCTTAGCCCAAACAAAAACTTATACTTTCAAACGAATGTCACGTGCAACGTCTCAGAGGCCTCTGGCTTTCTAACAGCTCTTTCATCAATTAGCAATAAACAAATGTATTAGTTCACAACATCAAAATAGATGAGCCCTATGTGACAATATATAATAAAATAGCACATAAGACAAAAGAAGGGAGGCTATATAAGAAAAGCTTGATAGCTAAGCCTTCGCCATCTTCCCTAACAGACAAGCCTTAGAGCTATTACCTGAAAATGTTAAACCACGGGGGTGAGACAAACGTCTCAGTAACCAACTTTCCAACTTATCATACATACTAAAATGAGCTCGTGAGGTGTCAAGTGGGACAATTATTAATTCTCGAGAAATATAGATATATCCATAGAAATATAATTTCAATCATCCAAACCCTCACTATGGGGGTCACAACACAAGCCACATAAGTCTATCCCTCACTCTGGGGGATCAATCAAGCATATGGGCCTATCCCTCACTATGGGGGACGAATAAGAAGCCACAAAGGCCTATCCCTCACTATGGGGGATGAAAGAAGAAGCCAACCAATGTGCACCAATGGCGGCTTTACCACGTGGTAGGATAGGACTCAATCCCAAAATCTAAATAACAACCAATCATTTACAATATAATAAAAATGTCTCAATCTTTTCTCAGTATAATCTATAAGATATAAATCATATATCTTTTTCAAACTTCTCAATCACAATTCCAAAAATCCCACAAGACAATTTTCATAGCTCAAAAGATATAACATATCTACTCAAGTTCCAAATATCAAATATTATTCTAAAAATAGCAAAATACTCACAAACAACATATTAACACATATAACAAGTGGAAAGTGGTTACCTCTCGCCAAAGTAATAGAAGGATTACCACGAGGTCAATCCTTTGCTCAACCAATAATTAATCTACACAATTAATATAACCACATATTAATATAAACTAACTAATTAATTAATTAAGCTTATATATTAGTTAAATTCCTAATTTAATTTAATTTTCATTCTAAATTCTCACCACTCTTATAACCCAAAATTAAGTATTTAGAACTAACTGATAATTTTCTAACAAGCCAAATTATTTATTTACATCCTCCAACTTATTTACTTTAATAAAAAGAATTTTCCAAAATTTCTAAATATGAAATTACTATATTCTAAATTCTAAAAATCTCATTTGAAATTTAAACCTCAAAACCGAACCATCAAAAATTCAATAGTGTCTCAAATATTTATATATATAAATAATCTAATCAAAATTTTAATGGCATATATATATTTTCATAAATAATGAACTTTAACTACAATAATTATTTGAAAACCTCCAATCACCCAATAAACAAAACTAAACCGATTAAAGTCTCAATAATATATCAAACAACTCAAATAAATTATTTAACTTAATTTTAATCGGTATAAATATAATATATCTCATAAATAATATTTTTTTAATTAAAAATTAATTTTTAAATACTAAAATTAACAAATAGACAAATCTAAACTGGTAGAAATGATCTACAATAATAGATCTACAATATTGTGGCTAACACTCATCAAAACTAAATACTTTCTCTAAACTCTATACTAAAAATTTCCTCTAAGCAACACAAAATTACTATTGTTAGATAGATCTGACTGAGTAGAACAATTTTCATGAAGGAAGTTTTATAATTAGAAGTAGTTTTACTTACCAAAATGATATGTAATGACGGAGAAAGAAACGGGAGGAAGAGAGCGCCGCTGGAAGCCAGAATGCGGAGAGAGAGAAGAAGAAGAGAAAAGAAAGACGGGGAAGGTAAAAAGAAAACACTCGGGGTAAACTGAAGTTAAAGACCCTAGATAA